CAGGATGACCCACCTGGAACACTTGAGACTACTTATATACTCGAAAAATGACTTCTTCCGTTCGTTGGTTGTGTTGTTTTTGGACTCTGCCGGACGACCACGTTTTCAAGTCATCACCAAAAATAATATTTAAGCGGCTTTCAAAACAATTTAACCAATAAAAACGTACGTATATCACTCGCTTTTATTATACTCAGCGTAGTAATTGATAGAGTATTAATAAGTGTTGTGGATATGCAGAGAATAACATGGTAGGTGGAACAGTGTATAGTTTGATATAAAATCATCATATTTTTCAAAGCTGCCACACAGGTATGATTGCTGCTCATGCAACTTTAGGTCTGAGCATACTAGTTTGATCTACGTTAATAATTGCGGCTTCCTGAGATATGTTTTCACAATGATAAGATATAGTGTCACTAAAATTTTATGTGCAGACTTACACTTGAAGCCAGTTTTTACTGCATATTTGGATTATGAACTCACCCATTGCAGCGGGGCTGCCGTAGCTTTGCGCTTAAAGGAAGCGTAATTTAGGTCACCGACATACGTTCTTCAGAAGAGCCAAGTATCAGTTAGCGGATCCCAGTCCGCTTGTTCCAAGGGTGATTAGATTATTGCCTTCTAATTACTCTTTGATTTAAATTCAAAACTGACTTTTATTTATTTTTATCTGCGGCTAAACAGCCTAATTTTAAATGTATAGATTTTACCAAATATATATAGTAAAATCTAAATACATGCATAACTACTGGCTACGTAGCCACGTACCGTATTCTTGTTTGGTTGCAGTCACACCATGCACATCTCGTGTGACACATACTCCTGTTACCAGGGTACGTGTAACCCCGTTACACCCTCCCCCATTTAGATTGAGAACATTTACACTTCCAATCGATTATTGCCTCAACGAGGCTCGCGTGTTCATTAGACACTGCAACTCAATTTGTTGGAACAAACAACTTCCTTGCTCAATGAGCCCTATGTCAATGACACCAAAATCTCCAAGTCTCGCTGATTCTGACGAGCATGGGCAGAGCCCAGCTTCATCCCCCGCACTCGGTGCAAAGTCGGACAGTGCGTCCGCAGCGCCGAGGGGGTATATCCTAGGCTCGATGAGCACAAACGTCGCCACCAGTGACGAGTGACCTTGTTGAGGATATGGCGGTGGTCGACTACGAGTCTGACACTCCTTTTCCCGCATGGGATGACGAGGAAGGCGAG